CCACCTCAAGTATTTTGTTACAACAGAAAGCAGACCAAGACAACGCCCAACTGTGGTATTAATTAATCTTGATTATCAACTCTATGGGGATATAGAATCACCATGGGAACAAACCTCTAGGCATGTGAGAGGTGTTTCAGACTGACTTAACTGAAATAAGGCCACTGTGGGTAGCATCATGCCCCGGGCCTTTGAAAGCCTCCTGACTGTCGATACCATGTGACCAACTGCCACACCCTCCTCACCAAGACCATGCATCCCTCATACTGAGAGCCAAAACAGGCTCTCTTTCCTTAAGCTGTTTCAGTCACATTAATAAGGCATCATCCATAAAGTCACAGGAAGTGATGCAGAACATTAGAAAGGAACAGAGGTGAGTCTGCAGAGCGGCTCTGTGGTTTCCTAGCTGTAGGGACGGACATTTGCTCAGAGGGAGACACAGTCTAGTGCCAGGGCGTAGGGTGTGAGGACTGGCTCTGCCACCACCCACGGGGGGCGAGGGCTTTACTGCCTTGTTCTTGACTCAGTGGCAGGACCACACTAACCAGAGAATCTTCCAGTGTGCACAGAGGCTTCTTGAGAAAAGCAAAATGAAGGAAAGCTTCCATTCATCCATTTAACAAGGAGGACCTGGCCACTGGGGGTAAGGCGACATCACTCTGGCTAGCGACTAGCAGAGGGTTCATGTCCACACTCACTCACACACACACAAGCAGAGCACTCGAAGGCTGAAGGGCACAGCCCACCCCAGCCCACCCCAGCCCACCCCAGCCCACAGTCTTTCATTAATGAGCCAAAAATAGTCCACACACAGAAAACAGCTTCTGTTGGCTTTTTTTCTTCAATTTAATTGAAGTTACTTAGAAAAATAATCAGGCTTGAATGGCTTTTCCTGGAGGAAGGTTTGGGAACATTTCACGCATCTGTTGGCAACATGGAATTTAGCTTCTTTAACAGTATAGTAAGATACAGGGAGAGAATTCTACAACAGGCCCTCCTCGACTGCATACAGATATGTAAAAACACACACTCCACAGAGATGTTAAATTCTATGTCCATATGCCTTACTGAGCATGCTCAGAAGAGAATACGGATACTGCCTTTTGTACCTGATAAGAGCAGATCAAAATGTGCCTGCTGCTGTCCAAGGGTTCAGCTGGTTCTAGAAGGTCCTGTTGTCTATTCAGAGGGGCTGTTTAGCTGTGCTGGGGAAAAGCTGAAGGATGCTGGTGGGCAAAACCTGAGGGAGTAATGGAGTCAGTCCTGCTGACAGAGAGGTGGGGCAGGATGGGGGTTAGGCACCGGAAGTGCACAGGCTTGGGCAATTTGTGCATGTGTGTGTGCACATCTATATGTGCATATGTGTGTGAGTGTGCATGTCTACTGTGCATGTGTATGTATGCGTACCCATGTGTGCATGTGTGTGTATGTGTATCTACTGTGCATGTGTGTGTATGCATACCCATGTGTGCATGTGTGTGTATGCAAACCCATGTGTACATGTGTGTATATGCGTATCTACTGTGCATGTGTGTGTATGCATACCCATGTGTGCATGTACGTGTGTGCATGTCTACTGTGCATGTATTCCTATGTGCGCATGTGTGTATGCATACCCATGTGTGCATGTGCGTGTCTCTACTGTGCATGTATTCCTATGTGTGCATGTGTGTGTATGCATATCTACTGTGCATGTGTGTGTATGCATACCCATGTGTGCATGTGTGTGTATGCATATCTACTGTGCATGTATGTGTATGCATACCCATGTGTGCATGTGTGTGTATGCATACCCATGTGTGCATGTGCATATGTGCATGTCTACTGTGCATGTATTCCTATGTGTGCATGTATACATATGGAGGAGGCCTGGGCAGAGGAAGAGAGTAGGAAAGCAAGCAAAATTCTCTGTGGTTTTGTCAGTTAAAGCAGGATAGTAATGCAATCATTATCATATGAGCTAAGAGTCCTAGAGGCTTACACAATGTCCAGGAGCACTCTTGGTGCATGGGCTAGACCTGTGTGCTTGGAAGGGGTGACTGGAGAGAAGTTTCTGGTTCTCAGGGTTCTCCTTGTGGCTGAACACGCAACAGAGAAAGCCCTACTCTCGGGACCAGGAAGAACGGGCTGTCCAAGCCCCCATCAATGGGCTGCCCTGATTCCCAGACCAGCTGAGAAAGGCACTGGGGCAGGGGGAGGCTATAGGGACTGCAGCCAGGGACCCCTGGGGCTCGTATTCTAAACTTTCCCAATAAATGAGTAATGTAAGCAGGCATGTCCTTACCACTCTGCCTGTACCTGGTCCTAAAAACACAGCTGTACCTTTGAACAGTGGCTCGGAGCTGGGTTGCTGGCAGCTCCCCTTTCTAGCTAAGCATGAGAGGCATGCAAGAGAAAGCTTTTTCAACATTTTTTTTCCCAGTAGAAAACACTTGGACTTCCAAGCATACTTCCCCAATTGATGTCTTTAGCTAGGGACACAGAATACTTTCTACAGTCTACAATAAACAGTCGAGCCAATGATACATAATTTTAAAATTGTCACTAGGAAGTGTGAACACAGGACAGGAGAAATGAGTCCCTCATTCTGGAAGCATATTGATACACTACCCCCAGAAGGACAACCTTTCTCACTTTAGAGAGAAAAATGGAGTAAGTACCATCTGCACACAACACTGTACCACAGAAGAAAGACAAACAGAAATGCAAAACATGGAAATCAACATGAATTTCCATTAAAGAAAAACTCCTGAAGCACACGGTGAACAGTTCCAAACGGTGGGTGGATGTGAGAAGTATTCCCCATGAGGCCATCATCCCCACCAAGTGGCCTTTAAGGCCAGGGAGTGCTTGTGGGATAGTTTTGTGTCCTTATGCCACCTGCTCCCGCTCTACAACACCCTAGGCTTCCCTCCGCTGTGCTTGGAGTTATGGGATCGTGTTCTGGGGCAGTATCCGGATGGAGCTACCCAAATTGGGTAAAGTGTAATTCTCATAAAGTTCCCAGATAGATGCTCTTTCTGCTTATTTGTGGAAGGATCTAGGAAGGAGCTGTCAATCTTTGCAGACCTCAGACAGACTAAATCACCCTTACCAAAGGCTACTGTGTGAAATACCAGCTAAGACATGGTCTGCCATACAGGATACCCAGGTCACGCAGCCCGAAAATGCTACATTCTCCCAGATTCACAAGGCAGACTGTGTATTCAAGGCTCTGAAAATTCCTGCAGAGAGGAACCTGACTTAATTTTGTTTTCTAAGGATATGTGACCACAAACCCCTCCAAACGGACGCCCTGGAGAGTCTGGGCTCTGTGGGACATGCATCAGCGGCATCACACAGACTGTCACGTGAGCAGAAGCCCAGGTCCTGAGGACAATGACCACCTCTCTATTCCAGGGACAGCCAAGATCTGTCACTGTTCTTGGTCAATGACATGACATAAATCTATTTATCAAAGGCGAGGGGAGAGAAATTGGGGACAGTACCTGCGATTTATAAATAGCCTCACCGGCCACTCTGGCTCACATTTTCCTCACATTAAATAAAATAATTTCCTCAGTGAGATAGTGTAGCAGCTACTGCTGCCCCCAGACTCCCCTGTGAGCCTAACAATACCATTTTAATAGTTTCTGTGAATAAATTACTCAATTTTATGTTTTTCAGAATATGCTTACCCCTTCACTCTATACTGCATCAAAACAAACAAACAAAACCTCACAAAAAACACAAAAAGCAAAATTTACACCCTTCCCGCTCCCCTGTCATCAGAACTGTTATGTACACACAGCATCTGCTACATACCCAGACACTGGCTGTCGCGGGAATGCAGCTCAAACATCAACCGAGAAGCATTGGGAACAACTAGAAATGAGGAACAGGTTTGGGCACACTGGTCAGCAAGGAACAGGAAACAGCAAGTTTCCATCCTTCTGGAGGACAGGGAGGTCCTGGATGCTTTGCCAATGCAGGACACAGGAGGGTGTGCGTGTGCCTGTGGGTACCAACACTCCACCTTTGACCTTCACACCTGAACTCTGCCAGTCTCCGAACGTATGCAGTGCACTCTTTTAAGTGGCAGGCAGGACAAGATGTGGATTGGAGATCACAGTAAGAGGCACTTGAGAAATGTTCTCCCCTTCCCTTAGCCAAGGCAGACATCACTAATCAATCACAGCAGTCCTCCATCCTTGTGCCTGTAGAATACTGTGCCTTATAGGCTTCTACTACCAAGAAGTGGCAATAGATATACACAATCAAAAAGGTTTCCGCCATTTCTTGTGTTGGGCAATGAACTACTTAGCTAGTTAAGTGGCCTGATCCGAATGTGTGGCTTTCAAATTTGAGCTGTGGAAAAATGCAAATTTGCTGGGGTCATCGATTCTCTGGGCCACTCGAGACTAGTCCAAAACCTGTGTGAGGACTATAAAAATGGGGGTTGGTTCACTGTTGAGCTGGATGCCCTGTGTTCACATAAAGTGTGTTGAAGGCCAAGGCTCCTGGTTTCACTCAATGTTCTACCTGTAGTCAGGCCTGGAAAACAGTAGCTGCTCAATAAATATTTATTGAATATAAAGCGATCATTATTCTGCCTTCACTAGAACTGGAAAGTGCCAGTTAAAGATTTCCACAAAGAACCTATTCTTATAGCCTGCTAATTTTGGTGAAGAGAAATTGCTATCATCCGTTCTCTTCTTGGGTTAAAAAAATTTGCATTTCTTTACTGCAAGGGACTTAGGGGTTGCTAGCCACTGGTTTGGACCAGTCTCACCCCTGTTTCTTAGTGCAAGGACAATTTCCTTATTTCCAGCAGGGTTTCTTAATGATGGCAGCCACACATCCCAGCAGCTGTCACGGTGGGATTCCGTGTGAGGTCAGTGGGGAGACAGATAATCACATTCCCCCAAACGAGTCATAGCCAGCAAAGCACAGACTGTACTCGCCTCTAGAAAGCCAGGAGCAGGCTGCTGCCACACAAAGAAGCCTATACAGAGACCACGTTTAAATAGCTATAAATAAGAATCATTAGACTTTATGGAATGCACAGTTTGTGGAATTCACCAGAACACAAGGACACCTTGGAGACAGTGTTGCAGTATCCACTTCTAAAAACAGAGACAATCCACCCTGCTCCTCTGCAAAGACAGCTGTCCTTCCCCATGGAGGATTTTTAAATAATTCTTACCATGCCGCTCGCAGCATCTCCCCCCAAAACATATTAACTTACAAAATAACCCAGTCTCCATAGAATTCTTTTGACAAATAAAAATCTTAAATTAAAAAGCAGGATTCTCTCCCTCTCCCCCAACCGCCCCCGCAGCCCTCTAATCCAACTTCAGGTAGTTTGGCACTGAGTAGTTGAACATTAAAAAGTCCAGTTTGTAGACTTCGTACAGCTGTGTCTGGTGCTCGGCGCTGATGTTCTGGAAGAACTCCGTGGTCATCTCGTCGGTAGTTCGGGTGGACTTTGCATAGGTGGGGAACTTCAGGTAGCCGCTCACACCGGCCAGCTGCAGTACGTAATTGGAGTCCTCCTCCAGCGTCTCGTACTTGCCCACGAGGTCGTAGTGGATGTGGCACGGGTGGCAGAGGGAATAGACCGTCTGCCAGTGCTCGTTGAAGGGCTCTTCCCGCTGCGTGTGGGGGTCGATGAGGTAGGCCACGAACTCCTCGAACTTGACATCGTTCCCCTTGCGCAGGGCCTCCTGCGTGGCGTTCTTCCGCTGGCGTCTGATGATCTTGGTGCCGTAGCGCTTGTGGAAGGAGGTGTTGTACTTCTGCGTGAACTTGTTGCGGTAGGCAGACACCAGCCTCTCGAAGGGCTCCCGCACGAACAGGAACTTCATGTAGTTTTTCAAGCGGTGGTTGATCTCTGGGATGCTGTACTGGTTAAGGGTCTTCAGGTTGGCCGACACGTGGGCCTCGTTGGCTGGGATCTCCATGGGATCGCTGTACTTGCCGCGGCCGCTCAGGACCATCATGAGCCTCTTCCAGTTGGTGCACGCGACCTTGGGCACATAGCAGTAGATGAGTTCGTGGTCCTCATCCACCACCAGGTGCTTCAGGTCGTTGGGGGTCAGCACCCTGCGCTTGCGGCTCATGGCGCTGTTGGCCCGGCAGGTGTCTGTCACTTGGTCCCGTCTCATCTGGTGCAAGATGGCAGTGTTAGACAGCTCCAGCTGCAGAGGGGACAGAGGAGGAAAGAGAAGTCAGCGCTTATCTAGAATAGTCCTCTGTGATTACAATGGAAGCGTGATCCTTTTGTTCAAGCAGCTATCTAGAGCCCATCAAGCTTGCCTCCAAAGGGTGAGGTGAGATTTAGCCTAACAGCTTAATGTGAGAGGCACCATAGAGGCCAGAAGGGAATGCTTGGGAAGATGTCTGTGTTCTCTGAGAGCAAAAGCCTTTTCCTGAAGTAGATGTGTTGGTTAGTTTTAACTGTCAACTTGCCACAACCTAGAATTGTCTGGTAAGAGTCTAAATGAGGAATTACCTAGATTAGATTGGTCTGTGGTCATGTGTATGGGGATTGTCTCCATTGTTAACTGATGTAGGAAAACGCAGCCCACTGAGGGCAGCACTATTCCTTAGGCTGGGCTCTGAACTACGTAAGAGTGAGAAAGAGTGAGCAAGGATGCATTCATTTCCCCTCTGTTCTTGCCTGAGCATGATGATTTCCTTTTTCTCCCAGTGATGGATTGTACAGTCTAGAACTGTAAGCTGAATGTGGTGGTTTGAATGTGCTTGGCCCAGGAAGTGGCACTATTTGGAGGTGTGGCCTTGTTGGAGTAGGTGTGTCACTGTGGGCATGGGCTTTAAGACCCTTGTCCTAGCTGCCTGGAAGCCAGTCTTCTCCTGCTTGCCTTCAGAACAAGATGTAGAACTCTCAGCTCCTCCTGCACCATGCCTGCCTGGATGCTGCCATGTTCCCACCTTGATGATAATGGACTGAACCTCTGAACCTGCCCCAATTAAATGTTGTCTTTTATAAGAGTTGCCTTGGTTATGGTGTCTCTTCAAAGCAATGAAAACCTGACTAAGACACCAAGTAAATCCCTCTCTCCCCACTAAGTTGCTTTTAGTCAGGATATTTTATAGCAACAGAAATGAACTAGAATGGCTGTTCATTCCCGGTCAGAACCAGTTTCCCCAGACAGAAAAATCTACTCTGTCCTGGTCAGCTACCATTTTGGTACCCAACATGCTGATGCTCAGAGATCCCATGGTGTGGGGAGCCCACCGTTAGCTTGGCACACTCTGCCATTTACCTGGCTGGCTTGTGCAACATGGCTTCCCTTTTAAATATCAATGGAATTTCATCTTGACTTTGAGGGTCTGGAGAAATGAGGGCCTGGGGCTTCCCAGCTCTGGGATGTCAGGTGGTGGATGGTTCTGTGTTCCTCCTCACCCCAAGGACAAAGTCTCCATTCAGACGCTTGTCTTTTGACACCCACAGACCAATAGTAACCTGTCTCTCCATCTTCACACCCACATCCCACTCGTTCTGAACAGAGGGCACTGCTGAGAAACCAGCTGTTCACCTTTTCCTATTGCACCCACATTCTGTGCTGGGCCCTGTGGGACTCTCCACTTTTATCTCTACTGACACAAACTTGACTATTCTTCATGGCCCAACACACTCATCTGTCACACCGCAAAGAACATTCCACCTTTGGTGTCCTTCAGAATCCTGAGTCTACTTCATGCCTTCCATGTGGCCTCAAGACCTGAGGCTACAGGAGGATCATTAGAATGTCTAAGTCACTGGACACGTGAATCAGTGGTGCCCAGGGGTCAGGTGGGACCTATGAACCCAGCCCTGAACCTCTAATACTGAATCATAAATTGTATGATTCACCCCCTCCCCCGCAATTCATCCCTGTATAGAAACCCTGATTTCAGTGAGCCTTGCCTTTTTTGTGTGTGTAAAAAGAAGGTACTTAAAACAGCAAAGTGTAAGGTCTTGGACATCTTCGAAGTTTGGGAACAGTCCCCATTTAGTCTTGGGGCTCAATAGCAGACTCAGTCCCCAGTGACCTCACTTGATTGATGCATATTTTCTTTCTCTGATTATTTCTAACTAGCTCAAGATGATAAGATGGAATGTCCTGGTGTCCTCAGGACATCAATGAGTACCAGCATCCAGATGTCACATGGTGGGAACTAGGCTATCTAGGGTGGTGCTTGTTACTCAAAAATGCTTAATGGTTTCAAAAGATATCACCAATGCAGCTGGAGAGATGGCTCAATAGTTAAAACCGCTGTCTGCTTACTCAAGTTCAATGCTCAAGGCCCACGCAGTGACTCACAATTATCTGTAACTCCAGTTCCAGGGTACCCAACAGCTTTTATGGGCACTGATGTCACACGTAGTACACAGACGTACTTTGTAGATGAAACAGCCATACATATTAAATAAATCAAATCAAGTCAAACCACCAAAATAAAAATGCAAGAGTGATGATATTCTTACAAAGAGCCCCAGGCCACAGGATTTCCACCCGGCATCTTTGAAGCTTGCTTTAAGAGACCTGGTGGGTTTAGGGGAGTCCTGAACAGGCCAGAGGAAGAGAGATGTTCTTTGCTTGAAGGCCAAGACTGAGATGGAGAGCCCTTGGAGAACAGCCCAAACGCCCACTCCCAGGACAATGAAAAGTTATGACGCGCAGCTTAAAAACCCATCCATGCCACATACCCATTTCCCAGCTACAGGATGGTGTTCTCGCCTCCAGCCAGGGCTCACAGGAGCTGTAGTAATGGCCATAACTTTTACAAACCACACATCCACTGCACAGTCCATGCACACACAGTTCAGGAGCTGTCCGAGGGGCTTAGCTATCTGGGGGTCAGCTCCTTGGGGACAGCAGAAGTGAAAGGGGTGAAGAAGACACACTAGTGGCAAACAGCTTGTTCTCCATCACTGGAAGAGAACATGGCTGCTTGCCAACCACGGTCCATGAGTTTTACAAAGCCAAGGTTTGTGGCCCTGTCCGTGAGGAGACCTGGAAGGTCAATCTCTTCCAGGTTTCCTATTCTTTCCCCTCTCCCTGTCTTTTGTTTTTCAAAAGGGTTTGAGGAGATCACAGCACAGGAGTTATGTGCAATCTGACAGTTGAGATTAAAGATCTTATTTGGTTGTAAGCTTCTGAGCATTGCACACAAAGGGGGAAGCGAGACAGAATCTTCCTTGCTCTTGTTATCAAAGAGAAAAGCATTTTGATTGTTTGTGGTAAGAAATCGAACCAGATCTAAGGGATTCAGAAAAGTCAGTCAGGGAGGGGGGGTGTGTGTCTTGAATTCAGTGTCTTCAAAGAGGACATCTTTGGTGGACTAAATGCCAGCACTGGGATTCACTCCTACTTTCCCACAGAAGGTGGGGATGTGTACGGTCCCCTATTCCGCTCTAGGAAGGAATCAACTGAGACTCTTACAGAGCAGAATCCATGAAAAGGGAATCCGCCCTGCGGAGCAGCCCACATGCCCAGCACTGTCAGCCTTTCCTGGGCTGGCTCCCGTCAGCATCAGTGATAGTTTATGCTAGTGTGTCTCAAACCTCGGCACGTGTGGGAGTCACCCCGGGGGCTTGTTCCAGCACTCCCTGGCTTCCAGCCAGATCTGGAGATGCCGCAGGGCAGAGGGTCTGCCAGGGTTCCTCTGCCAAACTTGTGCAAGATACCTCAGAAGGAGGCTTAAGCTATAACAGTGTGTTCCCCGACAGTAATGGTGGTTGAAGTCCAAGATGAAGTCCCCAGGGTGGCATCCTCTTGACCCCACGATGGCCTCTCCTGCTGGCTCTTCACATCCTCCTCTCTCCTAACAATCACTCCCAAAACCAGCTTACCATCTGAACAGCTTTAGCGGCATCTTTAAAGACCCTCTCTCCAACTACAGTCACATCCTGGGGTCCTCCAGGCTGGGGGATTTGAATTTAACAGGAGTTGGAGTGGGAGAGATAATTCAACCAATGCCAAGCGCCGCTGCTGTGCTGGACCACGCTTTGAGAGCTGCAGATCCGCGCTATGTGGAAATGACAGTATTCTAGCATCTTGGACCAATTTGCAACCACCCTTAATAACAGAACACAGAACAGTTCACCATCAGAAGCCGAGGGACTCTACCCGCGCCTTGCCACCAACTCCTTTCATCTCCCTGTGATGTCCTCAAAGTATAGGCCAGAGGAAGGCAGAGCCTAGGATGTCCTGAACACAGCTCCTGGCTTTGGGCTGCATCCGGCATGCTGGATTTGATGTCTATTTTTAATTTGGATGTTTTGGAAGGGAACTGTAATTAGTGTAAGGACCAAGCTCAGGGGTTGTTTTAAGAAGTCTTTAAAGTTTTATTCTATTTCATCTTAAAAGGAAGAGCTGGTCTGCCCTGTGAGGTCTGCATTCTCTTCGGATGCAACACCCACACCCAAGTGTACCCACCTTGATGCCTGTGGTTGGGCAGATAAACCAGATAAAGAGGTAAATCTGAAAGCTTCCAATGACTCCCGACAGGCTCTTGTTTTACAATTCAGAAATCTGAATTCAAGGCCATGGGGATTTCATTCACTGAAACCCACTTAACAGAAAGCTGGGCATGGTGGTCCGTGCTTGTAATGCCAGCGCTAGGAAGGTGACACAGTCCTTCCCTGCATTTCTGTGGCACTGCTGTCGCCTGTTGTCTTGGGTGTTCAGGGATGTTTGGATTTGATGTAGAAACCTCAGCAAACACAAGCACCATGTCTTCTAGCTGAATGTGAGCACTTACTGCCTGTGAGTTACTGCCAAGCCACACACTCTGGAGCAGGTATCATCAGCATCCCCAACTTATAAAGAAGGAAACTGAGGCACAGGGGAAGACGAAGCTTGCTCAAGGTCCCAGAGATAGGAACTTGGGCTGGAGCCCAAGTGCTGGGAGATAGCTCTGAGACACTGATTGTATGACATCTGAGGTCTGAAGCCACAGCAGGGGACTCCCACTTCCGGATTAAGCCACCCGGGGACCCAGTCCTGGCAGTTCAGAGGCATCATGGTAGGCTGTTAACAGCCCTGTTAGACTGGGTGATATTTCCATCCCAGTGGTCTCATATAACTTCTATAGCTATCGGCAGTGGTCCCAGGGTGCTAATACTGCTCAGGTAGGAACCACAGCTTCAGAGGGCCTAGAGTCATATGTACATTAGGGCTGGACCAAG